TTGAGTATGTTCCTATTAGAAATGTCCATTACTTCATGCTTTGTTAGAAGTGAGAGGCCTCTGTGATGACTGCTCTATCTTGCCATCCTGAAAGCAGAAGTCCACTGGGAGAGCCAAGATGTCAAATTTAACATCCCTCACTCCCGAGTCGAAGGCATGGCTCTCATTCAGCTTCACTGAAAGCTAAATTGCTCCCCAGTCAACATAAAGCAATAGATCAAGAGCTGCAAGAGCCAGATAAGAGATGCCTCCTAATTCAAAGCAGCTGGAAAGTGATGAAAAATGATTCACCCCTCAGTGGGAATTCTTAGATCTGCTCTGATAAGGAGATGTGCCTCCGACCATTGTTCTGCTTTTCCTGTGTTGTTGTGCTGCCAACGCTCTCTGCACAGAAAACAAACAGGCAGTCTGTTATGGACAGATGCAGAGCAAAAATGTAATTTAACAGTAAAGCAGGTGATCTCTCTGTGAGATAACACAGGATCTAGACATTTAGGGGTTTTTTTTGCAACAGAAAAGAAGGCAAGGTTTGGTTTTGAAGGTAAAGAGAAGATGAAACATAAAAACTGAATTGCTGATTGCGGAGCTGCCCCTCCAAGAAAGTTTACTGGTTTGTCAACATAAAACTTTCAAAAATCTGCAGCCTCTCACACTGCTCCACTGAAAGTCATTGGACCTAACCGGAACATACCACCTACCCAGGTAAGTAAAGGGTGAGCTGAGATGTCTAAGTGACATCTCACTCTGTCTGTGGACACCCATCCATAGCAATGAGAAGACCAAATATCAAAGAATATTGTTTCCTGCAGAACTAGCTCACCTGTCCTCCTACATCTTAACAGAGCCCAGCCCCTCCCTGCTGAGAGGATAGAATGAGACCAACCTGTTAACACTGTCCTTGATTGATCAGCGGATCAGCTAATCCACCACAACATCCCAGACAGAACAACAACCCACGAAGCAGAGCAACTGGAGTCATTTACACACCTTAAAAGGGAAAATGTAGCACAAAATGTAGGATCAAGCAGACACAAACACAATCCTCATGTTGGGGAACTGTGTTTTTTTGGCATTTGCTGAGTTGATCCCTCTACACATCACAGCTACCGTATAATGAAGCTCACCGTCATTTGTATTGACATGGTTGTCACAGTCACTTTGCTGTCAGTTGTTGTTAAGTGGGTCAGGCTAACAGAGAGCAACATTAGCCCTTAGTGAACACAGCGAATGTCCTTGTACAACATGCAAAGATCCAGATTTGGAATAGGGCACCACGATATGAGGAGAATATAGCGTCGCTGAATATCACAATACTGATATTACTGGTGTTAAATAAACTGATATTAAGTTAAAATATACTGCCAAAATACAACAAATTGCTTGTTGAACTAAAAGAAAGAAAGGAAATTATTTCCAGCATTGAACTAATTGAACATTGAACTGAACACAAAAGGCCCCAATAAAAAAAGGATTTGATGTTTACATTATAAAGTGCAATTTTCTCTTTCAACTATCTCATAAAATCCCAATATCGCATTTTTTCAGCATACCGGTTTTTGAACATTTGAACACATCATGATAAGGTTATAATGTAGCTTCGCTCAATATGTGACTTTTACTGGATAGAACTTGAACGCATATTAATGTTACTCAATGCGACCTCCGAACGTTATGTAGCCATGCAGGACACGTGCTGCTAACAGCTAACTGCTATCAGCTAACGTTAGCTAGCTCTCCATCTGCAGATTTCAAAACAGATTTGTTGTTCACAATGTAGCATTATCTGGGACATTTTTATTTCGTCCCCCGGGGAAGGACGGGACGCTGTTAGTCTCGAGCCCTGGACCCCGTAGAACAAGTATGGTCACGTTTTCAGAATTTTTGTATCGACTTGTTACCAAAGTATTGGTTCTCGTGACATCCCTACTCTAGAGTTTAACATCCTTCCACTGGTGTTTCAAGACTTTTGACAAGAGAAAGGTTTGAGATTGTCTTCAGCGTCTGTCTCTCTTGCATGTCTAGCGAACGCTAATGTTGTTCCTCTCTAATCTCTTTTTAACCTTTGCTTTCCTTTTCCGCTGCTGTCACTGAAGAATTGCAGGATGTATTTATAGATGCCTCTTCCTCCACAGACAAACACGCGAGACACCTTTGCAGTTTTGTGCCTCTTAAGAGCTGCGTTAATGGAAAGACAGCATCCACAGCTGATCCACACTTTGTATTATATGTGTGCCGTTTTACTGTCAACCCTTTGCTATTACTGGGTGAATAGCTTGTTGTTCAAAATGATCATTTTAAGAATGTCTCGTATGCATGCATGTAATCAATTTGTGTGGCAGTTTAGCTTAAATAAAGACTTTCTTTGGCAGATGTGGGAACAAATGTCATTTAGAATGTCATTCACAGCATGTGAATGGCCCCCCACACACACACACATCTCGTGGGAAGGCAATATGCTTGGCACACCACTGACAGGCAAAGTGTCCACCCGCTGAGACATCTTGTCGGCCCCCCGCAGCCTCTCTCCACCTCTGTTCACACTTCTTGTTTCTCATCTTCGCGGGTCGTGACAGAACATCCACTTTTCTCTCTGATCCTCTGAATGTGTGTGGACGCTTCCTGTCTGTAAATATTTTGACCCCTTGGTGCCGGTCATGACCCCCGGCAGTAATTTCCAAAACGGGGAGACGTGGTTGGTTTGCCCCGATTGACATACTGTCAGAGTGATCAACACTTAGCACAAATAGATTTTCAACCCCAGGAAGTAAATTAATTCAGCACATAGCTCAGAGGTGTCAGCAGTGGTGTGCCCAGCCAAATGAAGATCGATATCCTGATCTGTAGGTTCCTGACCCAGGATGCATCGCTGGGCTGAAAGGATTGTTTTTTTTCCACCATAAATTACTCTTTCAAGTGAGACAATTCACAAGATAAAGCAAGCGGCCCCTTTTATTACTCCCTTTAAGACACTCACATGAGGCGGATAAAATAACGTTCAAACTTTTCCATCTGATACACAGATTTTTATCTTTGTCTTTTATCTTTTAAAATACTCAGCAACACTTTAAACTTTAAACCATATATAGCTTTTATGAGCAGTAAACAAAGATTTCAAAAATGGTATATAGCACCGTCTCGTAGTTGTAAGCAGATATGAGGACATTTGTAAGTGTGTATTAATGTACAGTATACACGTCAATTATTGTCATCTGAAGACACATTTTATGTTATTACAACTGTGTTGTACTATAATATCATATATCTGTCTGTTTATTCAGTTGCCTCCACATATCCATTTCCAGCCTGGTCTCCTAAAAATGACGTTCCCATACAACAAAAAGTGCACTGTTGATTATGTTTTGAGGGAAACGCATTCTCCCAGATTGTTTGTTTATGACGCATCACAAATTTATGATCATAGTCGGTGTCCTGTTTGTGTCCTGTGTGTAAGTCAACGTTGACCTGTTTTAACAGTTCACAAGCACCGTGTGTGTTGAGGATGTAGAAATTGTCATTTTTGTTGGGAGATTTTTTCAAGAAAAGACTGCACTCGATATCAGACATTCAGCTGTCGCAGAAGTAGACGGATAAACTAACTAAACAGTTTTGGAAAGGCAGCGGGTACGGCAGGCACATCCACTGGAACTGTCTGGAAGCAATTTAGAAGAAAACTAGAATGACACTCGGTGGTTCCTCTGACTTCAGAGTGTTCATGAGCGTTACGTTGTTCCGCCATGTTTCTACAGTAGCCCAGAAGGGACACTGCAATCTGCAACCTCACCACTAGATGACACTGCTCCTTTAAATAACCTAACAGCATCTTTTTTCTTTACTGTTTCAATTTAAAAACATTAACCATGTGTTTAAAACTGAGACTGTAATCCAAGAGAAAATGTATTTCCCTCAAAACGTAATTGAGAATGCAGTTTAGTTGTACGGGATCATCATTTTGTCGGAGACAGGGTCACCATATCCTCCTGGTGTAGTTGTGTTTGTGAATGACAGTGTTCTTACAGACAGGAATACCTGCATGTATTTCATTTAACCGCAGTTATTTGATAACTTTACACATGAAGGTCAGTGTGCTCTGCACAAAGAATACCACCTAGCCTGTGAAAACAGTTGTGTAATGTCTTCTATAACTGTGTGATGATGTCATCAGGATTTTGTTGGCTTGGAAACTACAAATTTATCACCGAAAGTTAAGTCTGACCAATACCAGATTATTCAGGCTGATTTCAAAACAAATCAGTAGATAGTATTTTTTTTAAAATTATAAACATATAACATTAACAAATTATCTTTATCACAATTATTTTTTTCATTACTGCGACCAGGTGACCGAGTGGAATGTTTTACAAATTAAAAATAATCTCGTCAGTGCTCATTGGTGGACAAACCATGTTTATTCTAAATGTCCTTAAAACTGGTTTGGTCTGTCTGAATTGCAATTTCTCGTTAGTTATCGGCAGACATATGCACAGACACCGATATATCTGCAAAGCTGGTATACGAGCCTCGCCCATTTATTTGTCGAGCTCAAACAGAAAGCCTGACAAACCGGGTGCACCGAGTTTAAAAGTCTAACAGAGAGAAGCTATTGGTTGCTTTGTGGGAAGTGTAGTATCAATTATGTTCGTCAACGACTTCTCCTTCCACACGACATTAAACACGAACAGTGACGTTATTAAATATGCAATATGCATCGTTGATGAAAAAAGACGTCTCTTAAAAGTGGTTGAAAAACTAAAACTTCCCCAAAATGGAAGTTGTTGAATAATGCATATTTTTGCATGTTGGGCGGAGCAGATTGGCTCTCATAACGGGCCGGTGCAACTGGACGTGAAAAAAAACAGTTCGAATCCAGCATTTTTTGAACTTCGATATCTCGGCCTCTCCTAAATCGATTATAATGCGATAATAAATCGCTCCAGTACCCCTGGAAATATTTCTGTCGAACTCCCTAGTATTTATTGTGACTTCATGTGGTGCTCACTTACCAAGAATCCTCAGCTGAGTCACAGCCCCATGGAGACCGAAGAACATCCAGAGTGGGCGGGAGTTGTCCACACACACCTGCATGCCCACATTGGTGCCGTTGTGACTGAGGATGACCTCCCCCTCCTGGTTGACCAGGAAGCCCAGGATGTCACTGCTTTGGAGAGGCGTCGGCACCCGACACACTGCCCAAAACTCCTTCCTGTCCACCAGAGCCTCTGGATTGTAAGGCAAGTCACTGGGGCGCAGCACCGCTGGGTCGCACGACGTCACGCCGTAGGACAATGAGCCTGAGCGTGCCGGGCTGGACTTGGTGACTTTGATGAAGACGGTTTCTCCGGTGCGCAGGGGCCGGTTGGTGAAGACGAGAGTGCGTTCCTCTCGTGCGTGCTCGGATCGCGCCACCGTCTGCTCGTCCAGCGTTTTGATGTGGGCGCCGCGCAGCTGGTGGAAGTGGAGGTCGCTTTCCAAGGAGGATGGCAGCAGAGAGGACTGCTGGGAGTTCAGGGAGTTCTGGGGTATGGGACAGGTGGAGGAAGAGGAGGAAGAGGCCAGGTGGAGGGTGTGGCGGTGGGAGTGATTGTGGCCTTTGCTTCCATCCTCCTGCTGCAGGTTGAGGTCACACAGGCTGACGGACAGACGGGAGTCGTCAGCGTCACGCCGGAGAGAGGAGGAGCGCACTGTGGTGAAGGAGCGCGGGCGTAGGCAGTCGGGAGGAACAATCTCACTGTCTGGAAAGAGATGGAGATGGAGAGAGAACAGCGCTTAATAATGGTCTTACTGTGTTTTGCTTTGCAATTGGCCTCAGACCTGTGGCAGCGAAGTTTGCAGTCAGCTGAAGCCCTGAATTGTGAGCAAACAATTCTCAGAAGAGCTGAATCTGCAGCTCGTCTGACAACAAGATAATGATGAAAAAAGAGAGAGAGCAATTTAAATTCAGTTGCACAAGTTGAAGGCGATGTAGGGAAGTTCTAATTACTCAGTGTGTCAGGAAGTGTGTTCAAAGATAAAGACATTAAAGTAGTCGGTTGCGCCCATATCTGCACACAGCTGAATCATCTACTGTAGCTTTAGACAAGAAAATGCTGTCTGGTGTCAGTTAGAAAGCAACAAATTACTTTCCTCAAACTAAATGAAATACATGCGCATGTTTGTGTGTGAGTGTGTGGGTTTGTGTCAGTTGCATGCCTTGCAATCCATAGTACAGTATCACTCTACAGCGAGCCGGTAATATTATCCAGTACGTGTCTCTCATAGTAAGAGTGGTGGTCACATGCACACAAATACAAACACATTGACTCCACTGATAAGCTGCCCTCAGGTTGCTTACAGTCTCATCCTACGCCTCGACACGGCACTCAAAATAACACCCCTGAATGTGCTCTCCCTCTCGGTTCCCCCCCCACCAGGCCTGGTGGCTGGGGTAAAATTAGCCTGCCGTCCTGACAGAGACCCCCGCTTACTCTGAGATTGGGTGGGAGTGGGCCGTCTGGGTTTGTGTGTGATGCATGCACGTGTTTTTGTAGGGACTGACAGACTGAAGGAACAAGAGACAGAGAAGAAATAGACAATGACCTCTTCCTCCCCCCACAGGAGGTTATGGAGGTACTGAGAGACTCTCCTCAGTCAAAGCGAGAGGTAGAGGGGAGAAATTGAGACAAAAAAGGGGGGGGCTGGGGGGAGGATAGAGAATGAAACACAGCTACCAGTGGCCTACTGGGAGTACTGATCAGCTCTGGGGCCCTCAATCATTTGGATTATGGGTCACTTTTGGATTAATTACACATTTCAAATCGGTACCAAAGAAGTATTCCGTTTCAATAGCCAGCCCTACAGTCATTCCAGAACTCCACATCCTCCTAACTAAAACCACTTCTCTGAGTTAACCTAAGAGTAGACGTCCCTTAACCAACAAAGACAGTGGCTGACATCAAGCATCATGCTGCGAATGTGTTCAACTGAACAGGAGACGACAGCAATCCCCTCAGTGTTTGATCTCCTTCCAGTGGCATGACTGATTTTCTGTATCACCACTGTGATGCTGTCTGATGAGTCCTCGTACACTGTAAAGCTAAAATGGAATCACTGCTCCCTCAAAATCATGTCAGCCGTCAATTCATGTTAGCTGCTAACCCAGAGAACAGTGTTTTTGATTCATGTTTAATGGAACTTAGGCCCTGTAATCGTGCTAATTGGTTTTTCAGAAAGGCATAAAACGGAGAGGACAGTGCCTTTGGCACACAGGGCGGCTCCCACAGACTGCTAATCAACCATTAAAGCACCTCTTAAGCACCTCAGCGCTCAGGAGCGAGCAGCAGTTAACTGTGCATCCCAGAGGCTAATAGGTGACTACCAACCAGCTGGGATTTCATATACTATTCTCTCTGCTATCAATCCTCTGATGGACTCTCAGCCTTCATGAAAACCCCGGCCAGCACCAAGACGACGGGCTGTGGGAATGAACACAGCCTGACGACGTATGGCTGTTAAGTCGTCATTGCACAACTCAATCTGCCATTTCCTGAATTTATGCACTTTCTCCAGACAGAGAGACACTTGCTAAAGGGAGGCCTTTAATGAAGTAGAGATAGCCTCATGTGACTCTGGGAAGGCCTCTCCTTTGGCCGTACAGAGAGCAGCAGGCATGCTAACTGCTCAGCCGCACAACTGATTGGGATGCCGAGCCGGCGGCAGACAACTCTCTCCGACTTATTGGAGGATTTCTATTACATCACCAAACAAAACTGTATGTGTGTGGGTCTTCCAGAGACGGATTTCTCCGCTGCCCATCACTCCATCCTAAATTGGATTACAAATGGACAGACTTTGTTGCAACACCTCCGGGACATGCGGTATAGGGACCGGAGCTGCTGAGAGGATGATGACATGTCGTGGGGAATAACAGCAGATGGGAGAGAGAACAGAGCGGAGAGCAAGGGGAGGTGACAATGCTGGATTTATGTTGGAAGGAGTCGGTGAAGGGTTACAAACAGGCGCAAATCAGAGCTCTCTCTGTGCGTGTCACTCTGACAAGTCCAACGCAGACTGTGTGAACACAAACAGTAAATTGATTCCTTAAAAAATATCTCTTTATCAGCTATTTTCAAAAAAGCTTCTCCGAGGGTTTATGTTTCTTCCTTACATCCTCTTCCTCTTCCTTGCTCACTTTTCATAGAGAAGTCATTTCAAAGCCTTATTGGCTTGTGTGCCATGTGTTCTTCTTTTGCTACTTTATTCATCAAAGGCTGGTGAGATGGAGGCACTGTATGTGTTGTTAGCCTCCAGGACAGAAAGATGAATCAAGGCACTGGAGAACATTTACCATGCATTTGAAAAAGCTTGTGCGTGTGTGTGTGCACTCTTGTGTGTATCTGTTTGTGAGCTCAGCAGCTGCTGCTCGCTAACCGTGGTGCACCTGCGTTTTTAGCTGATACAATCCTTTTGTCTAATTGGTCCCTTTCAAATCCGCCACTCACAGATGCTCCCTCCCATTGGCCAAGGCCAGAATTTTGCACTTCGAAAGCAGCATTAAACATTGTGTGTGTGTGTGTGTGTGTGTGTGTGTGTGTGTGTGTGTCTCATGTAAGAGGACATTGTAATGGGGCCATGGAAGATGCAGCTGCTGACACTGTGAGCCTGGGAGGAGAGGGGGGAGGGGGGGGGATTTATCACCTGATTCTTTACTTTTGATTGAATTTCAAACAAAATGTGGCACCTGTTGGACTGAACCATTCATTGGTTCATGCAGGGGAGCGTGAAAGTTATGGGTCAGCCCATTTGGAATGCCTTTTGGAGAGTGTGTTTTGATTTGAATAATCAAGCACCTGCTGGACTAATCCATCGTATATACATGGCCCGGGGTGGGGGCAGCGTGTCTGTCTTGGCCCTCACAGGCATTGGCTCACGCTGTAAATGTTTTTGATTAGGGAATAGCCACAAAGCAGGCTAGCTAATGCTGTGCCTGGGGAGGTGGATAGTGGCACAGGCGAGCTTAGTGGCTTTGCTAGCCTGAGCAGACGGAACTCGCAAAGGGTTTGAGCCGCTGACGGAGCAGGGGGTGGGGTAGGGGAGATTTACTCTGTCTCACGCACACAATCTATCTCACAGGGCTTATCTTCATCCATAGGCTCAGGAGGGTTTCATCTGATGTCGGCAAAGGTGAAGAGAAAGAGAGCTGTAACTAGGAAGAGGGAATGAAATGGGAGAGGAGAGATTGTTGGAAGAGACAACAGGACATGAGGACAGAAGGTGCAAAGGGAACTGTTGGGATCAGCTGGGAAGGCAGAGGCTAGAGACGGATATCCAGGGAGATTTAGAGTGCATAAAGTCAGGGAGAACAAAGAGGCAGCGCATAGCTCAGACACCGACCAAGCGAGTGAGAGGCCGAAATATATATATATATATATATATATATATATATATATAGAGAGAGAGAGAGAGAGAGAGAGAGAGAGAGAGAGATGGAGTCAGAGGGGTCTTTGTGCTAGATGTTTGGGATGTTCTTTATTCCCTGGCGTTGGCCCAATCCCTAGTCCTGATTGGGCTGGGCGGCTTTGAACCCGGGGCTTTTGGAAATAGCAGCAGGCTCCCGGGGCGACACATGGCCATAACAAAGAGCCAGGCAAAATGCCCGCTAAGTCACAAAAGCTATGTCCCTTAGGTCATCGGCAGAATCCAACATGTGCCTGCCCCCCCACCCCCCTGCCAATCAGCATGCCAGGCCCTCAGCGTTAATAACCTCCATCATAAGGTTCTTATATTTAAGCCTCCCTGTTTTATTCCTGTGCTCATGCAGGAAGGCTGATATGAGGTTAATTATTTGTCACTGGTGGGAAGGCCTCAACTCATGCATGTCCACCCCTTTGCTATCATTTAGAAAACTGGTTCAGCTCCTAAAGCTGCACTAATGTTTCCATTCACAGTGGATGCGGTGGCTGTGTGTGCGACTCACCGGATGTAGACATTAGCCCTGTATTTCACACAGCATCTATAAGACACCATCACTGCACCTGGGGCTTAGTGGCACCCGAGAGCTTTTTTTCTCCTATAATATATTTGAGAACCAGAGAACGTTTGGCATTTCAGTTTGAAAAATGACTGAAGCGATTAATTGATTATAGAAATAGTAGAGGTCGAATATCGAATGATCAATTAATCGTTGCAATTCTAATCTAAATATCTTTATTATGAGGTAAAAACAATCAGGAAGTCAGAGTTTCACTGCTGAGCCTTGTCGTCTTTGGATAACCTTGGTTTGAATCCTGTATGATCATCTGCCTGCTCAGGTTCCTTGCCTCATCCGGCGTCTTTTTATTCATGTAGCAGTGTTCCCACAATGTGTTTGCTTTAACTTATCATGAAGTAAATGTTGATTGCACAGTGTAATGACACCATCAACAATTACATTTGTTCCCTATATGCCTAACACTTCGAGGCTTCGTGGTCTGAACCAAGGGGGGTGGGGCCTATAATAATAGAAGCATAATCACAGCACATGGCTGCCATATTTTCGACTGGTGTATGCGATCGGGCACCATGACAGTGTGTGTCACAAAGGAACACTCATACACCATGTGACCCCCTGATGTCCCTCTGTCTCAGGTAGGGAACAGTAAATGTGGAGTTGGCTCTGCTGGCGCTGCTTCAGGGGGCCGAGCAGTTTCAGAGGCTCTTCACTGAACGTCACACTTTGCATGCCAAAGTGAGATAACTTGGTAAGATAACTTCTTGA